ATTGTCACTGTTCCATTAGGTCTTGTCCGTCATTGGGATTTACCATCAAGTAAATATTATATAATTATCATTATTATTTTATATTATTTATTATATGAATTGATTAGAATTAAAAAATATTTAAAATATTTATAATTAACATTATTATTTAATAGCATTATCATATGGAAAACGAAGTGCAATTCGTGAAATAAATTATGGACTTGCTGCAAAAATCTTTCTCCAATTTAAATCACGTTTTTGGGAAAAAACTCCTTCTGAAATTGGTGCTAATCCTACAACTTCTAATGTTGGAATTGTTGGTGGTATTACTCACACTGACCTTCCTATTCGTATTTTGGTTTATCCTTCATATTATACAAATATATCTGTCGATGATCGTGCAGTCCTTTTAGCATCTTATACTTGGGGTAATGATGCGGAAAAATATGGTCAATACAGTGATGAAGAACGATTTGAACTTACATTAAAAGATTTAGCAACTATTCATGGTGACATTGTATATAAAGAATGGATTCCAGGTAAAGAAAATAATATAGCACAGTATTGGCCAACTGATAGAACTTCCGGAGGTGCTTATGCAGATTATAGTGTCGCACAACTAGGATCATTAATGGCTTCTATGATGAGACCAGAGGAATCTATTCATTGGGCTGGAGAACATACTGATATACATTGTGCTTGGATTGTTGCATCTTTAAATTCTGCAGTTAGAGTAGTAAAAGAAATACTACTCGAAAATTTAATGGGTGATAAATGGTCTGAATTGAAGAATATGAGATTATTAAAATATTGGAATGGAAATCTTGAGGCTTTTGAAGAATATTAAACTGTATATTTATTTTGTATTCTGTTAATTAATTAGAATAATAATAGCAGTTGAACTTTTAAAATCATTCTATTATTAAGAATAGTTGTGATCTTACAATCAAAATGTTAAATATATAAATATGTATTATGTAACTTTTAACCCTTTTTAAATAATAAAATTATTCATAAAATTATTAAATGTATAAAAATTCTCTGAATTTTCAAAATTTAATCCGGCTGCTTATGAGAGACAATTAATTTTGTATTATATAACAAGAAATTTATTTATTAACAAACTATGCGATTTAAATTTAAAAATAAAATTAAGTTAAATTGTGTAGGTAGTGTAACTGTTGTGCCTGAGTTAATCAGTCCGTCTCGTCTATCCTGGTTAAAAGATTGCCAATCTTTTAAAAAACCGGACTGAACTGCGGTCCAGGACCGAATAGGACCGAATTGAGCGACCGATGATGAACATAATACTTTTTTGCTATAACGATAAAAATAAATTTATCGGTATAAAGAATCTCAACGTATTTACAATAAGCTCTTCAAATTTATAATATTTGCTTATATGATATAACAGGTGCAATAGTTATTTATTAATTGACATGTTTGATAATTTAAGTCATACGTAAATTATGGTTTAGAAAATAATATAGTATAGTAATGTAGCAAAATAACTTCTATGCATCAAGTTCCAACCATGATTAATGTTTACGCTTCATTTTATACTAAACTAGAATTGAAGAGCTCCTATAATTTACTTCGTAAAATATGATCATTATAGTTAAAATTAATCGAGAAGATATTTTGTTACTTTTAACTGCTTAACATTGTTTTTAAATAAAACTTGAATTTACTTTATATTTAATTACCTTATACTTCTTATTATCTTATTACATATATGTATATATAAATAAAATTATCTCATATGTGCTTATTAAAATCATTAATTGATCGTTTAACCTATAATTTGATTAAATAAGATAATTGGGCATGCCAACTGTTCAATCTTGTGCTGATTAAAGACAAGAACTGTATTAATATACAAAAATATTAAAAGTAAATTAACAATACAATTATATGTTACTTGCATAGTAAAAAAAATATTTATTGATATAATATTGTTAGTGTTTAATATTTTTCTCAAATATTTAAAAATTTATAAACCTAATATATTTAATAAAAAAAATAAAGTATGCTACTAGTGTCTGGGGTATTTCCAAGTTAAAATAAAAAAAATTTAACCTGTAAAAAGTTATAATATAAAAGTTTTAATATGTATTTATAGGCACCATAAAATTATGCGTATTTAAAAAAATCTTTTAACAGGAAAAAAAATTTGTAAAATTAAATTTTAGAATAGTAAGTCGTCATTAAACCAAGATTTTAAACACAAAATAGCCGAGCTCATTATATATTATATGTGGTTTAATCTTGTTTAACAAACTAAGAGATTTGTAATTGACAATAACAATCTTTTTTTAGAATTTTAACTAAAACTAACATTTTATAGTTGTTTTAAAATGCATATTATCAAGATAATATATAGTTTATTTGATATTTACTATTACAGTATTAGAACCAATAATTTTTTTAATCTATTCTAAAAAAAACTGAACAGGCCCGATTCCTAAATAAACTAAAGAATTGTTAATTCAAACCAGATTGATTAATAGCTCTAGCCTGAAGTTGGCACCTAACTAAAGTTAAAACTTTAGATGTCTGAAGTTGCACCTGACTAAAATTAGGTTCTGAAATTAGATCATCTTGTATGCACTAGCTAGTGCTTTTAGACACATACCAACTTCAGGTACCTAAAATTTTAACTTTAAATATATGTCAAATTTAGGTACAATATATATATTAAATAGTAAACTAAAAATAAAAGTAATCTTTTATATATATTCTATTTCTTATAATATTTATATTAAGATTATATCTATACTACTAATTCTGATTCTTACATATTTTCTTACAGACAATTTATTTTATCAAATTTATACAGCTATGTATATATACAAATTAATTATATTACAGAATTACACAAGATTATACTATAAAAAAATATACAAACATATTAAGACTTTATATTGACAAGTAAATTTTTAATAATATAGTAATCATACTAACAATAATACAAACTAAAATAAAAATAAAAATTATTAATGAATAGAGTAAAAAAAAACAAGAAAAAAAAACTTATCAAAAACTACTTGATAGTACTAATATCATATTTTAAAAAACTTAAACAAGTTAAAAAATTCTTTAGTATTATTCTATAAAAATACTAAAAAAATTACAAGATCATATTATATAATTATATTACATAATTATATACAATACTATATAATTATATTATAAGATTATATTACAAGACTATACTACAAGAAAATATAAAACTATTTATAAAATATTAGAATTTTGTATCAGCAAAAAATTTTTAATAATATTAATAATAATATCAATAACAATACATATTAAAATAAAAATAAAAACCTAACCTATCTTTCTACAATAACAATCTCTTTACATATTTCTGGGCCAACTCAGATAGCTCAGCAAAAGGTGCTGCTATTATGATACGCAATTTTCTTTAACCACATATCCACAATTGTCTTACCCACCCTGGTAGTGCTATTGCTATTAATCTATTCTTTAAAAACAATATCAAGCTTCGTATTATCTCAGTCTATCTTTCTTCTACAGATATGTCATAAAGAACTTCTACCCAAACTACTGTTATTAATTGGATTCAATTTGCTTTACAACACAATCTTCATCCTATTATCCTTGGAGATTTCAATATACATGATTTCAACTTTAGTTCGTCAGCAAAATATAGACTTATAAATTTCCTACACTATTCTAACATGTATAATATTGGTGCACATTTCAATAATACTCATTATATATGGTCTAACAACACTTACTCTAGTAGAATTGATTATATTTGGACTGATCAGTTTAATATCCAGTTTCTCTTGTTATATAAACTAGATACTAGTAATACTAGTACTCGCAGTGATCATCT